TGCTAATATGCCTCTGCAGACCATGTCCACAAGCCAAATGCCCAAATTCTGTTGACATTTCCAAACAACAGAATTGCAAAAACACCATCACAGATGACAGAGGCCCATCTTGCTTCCATGCTTCTTTCTAAATATCCTGAGGTGTAAGATCCCTAGGGCAGCTGGAGCCAGGCTTGTTAGGAGAGGAGCTGCCTGATGCCAGGAGGGGACTGACATTTTTAAGGGTTTTCATGCACCTGCCCTCAGCTGACGAGGTAAGGGCTGATAATGCTCTCTGGGAGCACCTTGTTGCAGGAGATTTCAGCAAGCAGAATCCAAAGGCCTGCTGGCCTCAGGGCCCAAGAAAAGAATTCGATTATGAAAATGCAGGATGAAGAAAGCAGACAAGAACAGTATTCCCCCCTGGTGCAATGCTCTGCTGTGGCTGCTAAGGATGGGTGGTCAAATGACTGCCTTAAAGAAGTCAGCTTACAGCTTCAATTTGGTTCATGAGAGTTAACACAAATTGTCTGAAGTATGTCTAGTATGTTTCAATGGCTTTTTAAGCTTTTGTTTTCAGAAGATTTAGCATTAGAGCACCCCAAAAGCACATGCCATATTTTAGCATAACCGTGATTATTGAGAAATACAAAATACACCTGAAAACAGCTTTAGCTCATGTATTACCTGCTGAAGGACAGGAGGTGATCCTATACAAGCCCTCCACCCTCCTAGCAGTGTCAGGAGCTGCCACTGTGTGTGCCACAGTGCCAAGGAACAGCATCCCAAGCCTGGAGTGTAATTTCTGAATATGTACTGCCATGGTTTTTGTAGGAGGCAGAATGATCAGTGCTGCTCTAAGACTCCTTGTGGATGGATTAATTAGTGTAACGACATTTTCATTTTCATGCTGCTGAACCTGTTCTAGCAGCAAGGAAATTACCATAAATCGCCTGAGGGAACCTGTAAAATACACAGGAATAACAGGCAAACAGAGGGCTACTGTCACCCTTTTGTCCACCGCCCCAGACTGAGAGCAGCTTTACAAGACACACAAATAATTGCTCTCTTTCAGCAAACCTGCAGGCAGAGCACCCCAGAGAGCCCAAATTCCCAACCAGCAAGTGGTTAGAAAACAGGTGACATTTCCCACTTGTGTCAAGCACCAAATTAATTCTTTGCCTTTTATAAACGGAGCTGCTGGCAGCTGTTTGCTGTCCCCCCACATCATGGGTTCACACAGCTAACCCCACCATACCAGTCCCACACCCAGCTATAAGAAAATCCACAATGTTTTGGGCTTGAAACACAACAGACACCCCAGAATTTGATGCTATTAATAATAAATTGAAGATGTCTACACAAAGCATCCTCCTGCCTCGGGCTGAGCAGTACTAAACATACCTACCACTCAGGAAAAAATCTCCTTTAGAAACCTGGAATGGTGGAAATGGATGAAGAGCAGCAGTGTGGCTCATACCTGTCCATTTTTTACAGGCTGGCTGGTTATGTGGAAGGTATCTAATTTTTATGCTGTTTTGCAGGAGATGGTAAATGCTTTTCATGGTGTCAGTCACAAAGCCTCAACAAAAATCCTTGGGTTTGGTTCATAATTAAACAACTTCATTTCAATGCCTTCTATCTGTTGCCATCCTAAAAAAAACATCACTTCACTTGTGCACCAGACAGTCCAGACACATACTATTTCTGTCCAGTTCACATGACAAACATAAAACCCACAAAACTACACCCCTCTTCTGCCCCAGAAAACTCCAAACCTAAACTCCCACATTTTGGAAAGAAAGAGGCATTTGTATCCCTCACTTGCACTTCTCATCTCTTCCTTGCTCAATGCACTTGTGAACTTAAATGTTGTAAAACATTCCTTTCAAAAGGGTTAAATTCACTCAAGGAGAAAAAAACCTTGAGTTTTTGAATCCCATTTAATCCCTTCTTGGTTTTGAATACATCATTAAAAGCAACTCAGTCTAGGATTATCAGTGTTGGTCCAAAATGAAGGCAATACAATGATTTTTATTTCCTTAGTTTTACACCAAGCCTCTCTGAAAGTGGGCAAAAGGAGAAAACTTGTTTTCAACATATGCTCAAGCAAATAAAACCCAGAAGCCATAAAGCTTATCCTGTTTGTTCTGCCTCACACCGATTATTCAGCTTTGCTTCCTCCCAGGGAAGCATTATGAAACATTTTGGAAACCAATGACATAGAAAGTAGAGTTTTGTGTAAACACTGTTGTGACTTTCTGCTTTCAGAGAGATTTGTTGCTGTGCTTCCAATTGGTTCCAGGCTCACTTCAGGAAAATTAGGTAAAACAGAAATTGTTATTTGATTTTAGAGATTAACAGACATTCCCTGTCCATCCAAAGTTATCTCAAAATGTTCAGACTCCAGTCTGCTTCAGCTTTTGAAAGAAAATTGATCTGGTATTTAACAACAGGGAGGACCCAGCTCTCCACTCCCATCAGCCACACAGAACATGACAGGTGCAGTTTTCAAAGCAAGCAGTGAGGCTACAGCAGAGGACATGCAAAAATCAGAACAAATCACATCCATCTCTCTTCCTCGCAGCACAAAGGGATGGAGCAGCTCCTCAGAGACTTTCCAGCTCTGTCCATAGGGTTTCCATAAAGAATCAGCTACTCTCTAGCAATATTTCAGCACTTCTCTCAAATTATGAAGTGCCTGTGACACGGTTCATCATGTGCCCATCATAATGGCAGAGGAGACTGCAATGCCTCAAGGATCCATTTTACAGAAATCACAGAGTGGCCCAGCAGCTGCACAAGTTCAGCACCTTGCCAGACACTTCCCATCAATGTGACAAGCTGAAATATAACCCAATTTGCAGGCTATTATTTTCCATGGCTGATTTGACTTGATACACAGGAATCACATAAAAATGCAACGTAGTCTCAGAAGTATTTACACAAGGGGCTGATTACAACAGCAAACAGCTATTTGGACAGTAATTTCTTTAGCTTTTCAAGAGGGTGCAAGAATGATCTTCTGTCCAACAGACAACTCTAATTCTCACCTCTATGTGCATCTTAATTTTCATTAGAATACAAACACACCAGTTCATCTTTGGAGAAAGAAGCTGTGGGTGACAGGATCACTATTCTCAAGGTATAATGAGGATGCTGGGAGTGCACATTTGGGCTGCTGACATCCTAGGCTGGATTTTGATCCTGCATTAAGAAATTCTACTAATACAACATGTTGCCCAAAGAGGCAGTGGACTTCCCACCTCTGAAAGTGTCCAAGGCCAAGAGTTTCTTATGCACACACAGGCACTTACACTATTAAAAACACTACATTAATATCAAAACAAAACAAACTTCAGAGGCACAAAAATAAATATGTAAGGCTAATATATGCAAGCACAGCAGCTCTGCTTGCCTGCAGAGTTCTAAAGTTATTTCTTCCATTGTTGAAGCTGAATTCTAGTGAAAAGAAAAAGAAAATCCCCATGTTTTAGTGTTCCAATTTGGATTTGTAAACAAATCCACTTTGTAAACAAAGTGTTCCAATTTTTGACTCACTACAGCACTCCCAGAATGTGAAATCCAAGGTATCCATAAAACTCAAATAATTTTGGATGATTCTCTGGAAAGAGCCAGTATCTCGGGATGAGCATTTTCCAACCTAAAATCTCACCTCCCCATTTTTCTCCATTTTTAGATGATAACCATTATATCTACCCTTCAATACAGAGAATCCTCTTCAGATGACAGAAACTGCATACTGGTGCAAAACACTCCTGTTCTCCATCAATGGTTTGTACACTGCAGTGACATGGAGGAAAACTACAAAGACTTGGCCTAACTGTGCCTCAGCAGCACATACACTAAAGGTGAAGACATCATTTTTCTGACCAAAACCATCAGGAATTTAGAAAAACTAATTAATCAACATTTCCTAGATATTACAGTCTACAGTTTTTTTCAGCAGCATTTGCTAATAGCTCTTTGTGCACTGCTCCACAGCAGAACGCATCCATTGTGTACATTTTAATTCATAATTCAGAGTATCCTCCTGCTGACAGCAGCATCTTTTGGCGTTTCTGAACAGAGCTGTAGTGGCAGAACTGTATTTCCCGTGGTGTCTCCTGTCTTGCATCCCACTTGTCACAAGCTGCCAGTGGGTATTGGTGGGGTGGAGAATGCTGCTCTCCAGGGAGTGCCCATTTCATATTCCCAGCTGTGCTGTGACCTTTTCCATTAATAGATGTCACAATAAGGGCAAGCCTTGATTGCTGAGCCCCAAGAGCAGACTGGTTAATCACCTCAGACAGAAATATCCAAACACATGTCTCAACTATATTTGAGATGGGATGGTTGGGACATGATCTTTTAAGACTCCTTCCAAGCCAAATCATTCTATGAGTCTGGCTCAGTTTAGGGGTTTTCAAAGCAAAAAAATGTGCTGGACCACCTATCAAACACTATGGAAACAATCAGTGTAAATCTGAGGCAGTGAAACATTTAACTTTGAAATCAAGGTAGCATTTACTCAGCAAGAGTGAAACCAAGCTGAAAAATTTCTTCTTTCACTACTGACAGTGACAATGCAAATCAGGTGTGGGTGGGCCAGTTTGGGCAACATCTGAAGGGGAATGAGCAGAAGAGTCCTCGTAAATAGGACCTGATCTTGCACAGTTTCACACTCAGAAACAAAAAAAAAAACCTAACAAACTTTAATTCAATAAAGGAAAATATTGGAGAAAAAAAAAAAAAGTTTAAAAATAGAAGGAAAGATCAGCATAGTAATAACCAGTGTAGCCTAAGCTCCCTCTTCTGGTATTTTGGAGTAGATACACTGGATTAGCCAAGTTTTGAAAAGCCTAACATTTGGATTCAAAATCCAGCAGCCAAGTGCTCATATAACTTAGACAAAACACCTGTCAAACTTAGTCAGCCTCTTCTTTCACACTAGAAACATTTCTTAAGCAAAAGATGTAAAGACATGGAGAAGTCTTGTAACAATTGAAATCACACAATACCTTTTTTTTTCCCTTGTGAAACCTTTGGTTTCTTGAGCAGGCAGCTCTACACCATCACCAGGGGCCACAGCCAAAGGTGCATCCTCAGAAATGTGATTATCAACTCCCTTGCAGCTATCAGGCTTGGAAGTGCTGAAAAACAGTTATTAAAAATAAGCTGTAATGCCCATGAAGCTTTAATAAAGTCTCTTTTTAGGATAAACTTTGGCTGGGTCTACAAGAAGCTGTAAGGAGCACATCATCCCCTCCCCAATTCCCTGTCTCTCCTACCTCCCACAAATTACTTCTTCCTCCAAACATTATTTCACTTCACCTCTCAGCTGTTCACATCATCAGTAATATTACAAAGTCTTGACAGCTCTTATAGACCATAACATTAAGTGCCAGAGAATTTACTGTATATGAATCAGTATAAGAAATAAATCACTAATGACTGCTTTGCTGTTCTCACACAGCTTTTTCTCCTCACTGTACAATATAAACATTTGATTAAGCAATTTGTGTTTTAGCAAAAAACCCTAAAATCTGGGACTGGAACATTCTCTTACTTTAAAAGCTCTCCCTAGGCTGTAAAGCTAAACACAGTAATCCCAGAACTCATCCCATGGATGTGAAATCCCTCTGCTCAGCAAAGCCCCACGCTCAGGAGCAGGGCTGTGACCACACAACTCCCCCTGCTCTCAGCCACACTCATGAACAGAAAAGGAACTAAATACCCAGGACTTCATGTCTCAAAAGCAGGAGCAGTTTAAGGTCTTGTCACGCCACACTGTCCCTTCCAGGGCACACCAGAGGGACACAAATGTCCTGGAGCAGCAGCCACACACAACAGCCTCCCCTCCTGCTGCTGCTGCTGCTGCCAGACATACAGGCACAAATGCTGATGGAAATGTTGATGGAAACAGGACGTGTCTGAGAAGCTTCTTACAGGTTTCCTGGACTAAAGATAAACAGCTATATTAGTCATTCCTTTGAAATTTTTCTCTCCTCTTCCCCCAGTAATTACACTGGAGTTGCAGGCAGCAGATTGAATTGTGTTACTGATGAAGAGTTAGCAAGGTCCAGGGACAGGCTGTTCCCTTCTTTGGTGCACAAAAGAGGACAGCCCTAAACCACATCTCTAACTTTAGTCACAACACACAGGAGCATGAGAACAGCCACTTCCCAAAGTGCTTGTCCACTCAGGTACTAAGATCACCAAAGCTCTTTGTGAGTGTAGTTTACCGTGATTAGCTTATCTCCACAAAGCTGCTTTGTGCCATATGGGACAGCTCCCCAGCCAGCTCTTCTAAGAAATTATCTCTGCTTTCCTCACTCCTTCCTTCCTTTCCTTCCTTCTGTTTGCCCAAACTGGCCTGATGCTGACACAGACACCCGAAATTTTCATCCCCATCAAGTGAATACGAACAAACAAATAAATAAATAACGATTAAAAAGCAGGCTGTTTCCTTTTTCATGCAAAGGCCTTTGTCCTTGGCTAAAATGTCTCTGTACTAATATAGTAACAGCATCCTCTCTATACCAAGGCTGTGACTATATAGGGGCACATGGAGAGCAGTGAAAGTAGGATTTTTAAAGCAGAAAAAAGTGAACTGCTAAAAATAAGTGAATGCTGAACATCTGTTTGGAGAGCAAACAAAGAGCTGCAAAACCAAAACAATTCACAAGAGGGCCCAGCCAAACAAGAGCACCAGAGGCACATAAATTATGGCCCTGGTGTTATGGACACACAAAGCTGCCCCAGTCTTACAGTAGCACCTGTTTCACCCACTCTCTTCACACAGGCCCAAATGATCATCTGCAGCCCTTCAGCTTCCCCCTCCAAGCCTGTTCACACCAAATGAAACCATTTTCAGAGATACTTTGACTAATGAAAGTCATTCCCAACACTAAAGCAAAGTTTGCCATCAACACACCAGGATTTCTGGAAAAGCTCTGCTCCCTACCCTGCACAAAGCCGTGCTTCCACTCCTCCTCGTGCTGAAAGACCTGCAGAAATTGAGGTAAAGGAGCACAGAACAGAAACCCTGTCCAAAACACAGACTTTCTGTTCACTCTGCACTCTCCAGCCTAACACTGCATCAACCGGGGTCCATGTATCAACTCATGGGACTTTCATCACCTCAGACATGAAGCAGCTACATCAAAACCTCTTCACAGCTTTTATTAAAACAAGATTATCCATTAAACTTTTTTGTTAACTAGTAATATTTTAATGGTTGCAAAAAGAATACTACCAAAAGGCCCGAGTCTTCTCAGTGCACAATAAACTATACATTGATGAGTATTTATCCCGTGGAGTCGAGCTGATTAGAAAACAAACATTTTCAAGCACCATCTCTTATGAGTAAACCTCAAAAATAATTTTCTGACTATCTGTGTGCACAGACAAATGTTGGTACTTCCTGTTTGTACTGCCAGCATTGAGAACTACATGCAGCAAGTGCCTTCTAAGCTGTCATTTTCTCCTGGGATTTGCAGGTTTGGGGTTTTTTCCCCACAAGCCAGGAAGGAAGCTGCAGGGAACAGACACTGCTCAGAAGTGTTTCACACCTCTAACCTGGAACCCAGCTAAGCTGTGGTCTTGTACAGACAGGGCTCTTATTTGCCTTCTCTACCTTTCCAACCCAAACATTCCTCATACAGCACAGATGTCCTGCTGCAGAGCCCTGCACCTGCAGAGTAAAGAGAAAGCTGTGTCTGGCCAGAACTTCTCCTAGAGCAACATGTACTGGCAAATCAGAGTGAACTTGGCCTTTCATTGCTGAACAAAAATGCTTGGCAGAACTACCAGTGAACTTTTTACCTAATTCTTTTCAGGGCACTTCTCTGTAGATAAATAAAATCTTACTGAGCAGATGCTAGCATGTTGTCCCTGATCGATATGTTAGCAGCAGGAGAGAGGCAGTCAGTCACCCTCAAGATGCCAAACAAAGATAGAGTTTCCTGACTGGACAGATGGAAGGACAACCTGATCTCTTACTCTGCCCTGCCATCTGGAAGCTATTTAGCACAAACTGACCCCCAACATGTATTCACCATTATTTTTCCCCTAAGTGCACATTATCTGCATTATGTGACACGCCTGATGGGGAAATACACAGAAACAGAAGCAAATCTAGTAAATATCTAAATATTTTGGGGGAAAACTCTTTATGATTGCACATTATTGCAGAACACCATGGCATTCAGGAGCCCCTGTAACATTTCCATTTTGCAGAGGTACCCAGCAGGCAGCACACAGACATCACATATGTGTGCACTAGGGAATTGTATCCAGCCACACTGAAATGCAGTGGTATAGTGTTTCTACATAAAATGCCAAAAAAGCAGAGACTTTAATAAGATTATCTTACTTATACCAGAAATAATCTGCTCCACGAGACAGGTGAATTGTTGATGACAGATAAGACAATGACATGAAAGAAAAAACATCACTGAGGCTCCACTCTTGGGTAAAAAAAGCCCAGTCCTGCTACGTGAGCATAATCCCACGTGTTTTAACAGTTCCATTTGCTACCAACATTATGTTGTTGGCAGCTCAGGACCAAAGCCCAGGGAAGCCAGCAGAGCTGCTGCTGCAGGAGGAGCCGTGCCAGGACTGAACACACAGGAGTTAAAGCAGGGGTGCAGCTGCACTGATTTAACCCCTCCTCTGCCAACCAGCTGCCACCTGGGGGTGGGCACAGTGGCAGCCTCTAGGACAGCAGGAAACCCCTCTGCAAGGCTCACAGAGAAGATGGTAAGTGACAACAACCTGGACAGGAAAGGCAGGTGAAGGAGCATGGGTAGGCTTTCATATCCAAAGCTGCACACAGATGCAAAATAAAGAAGTAAGGAAAACAAACAACACTGACAAGAGTTAACTTGTGCAGCACTTAAAAAAAAATACAAACAAAAGAGTTCAAACCAACAAACACAGAAGAAGCACTCACAGTCAGCTTCACTCCAGTTAACCACAGCTTATTTCTCTGTCAGTTTTCTCCTTTTCAGGAATTGGAAAACTACCTATATCCAACATGAAATACCCCTGGTTTGCCACTTTTTAATGCTGAACCCTTGCAAAAATCTTTGCAGCTCCCTGAAGGCCAGGATTTGGAAACAACAGCCAGATCCTGTGGTTGCTGCACAGTCCCTGTGCCCTCACCCCTACTGGGCTCAGCCACCCTGGATGGGGCAACCACAGCTCAGCACCAGCACAGCCTGTGCCACTGGGGTGGAGCAAGGAACCCCGAGACACCCCTCAGACATTAACAATAAAACATTTAACAGGCACAAGTTATGAAGGAGATCAAAAGAAAAGGCATAATATAATTAACTCGAAACTCCAGATTCATGTGAGAATGCAGAGTGAATTCATTAGGTTTACAAGAAATAGTGAATTAAAACACTCTGAGACTGCCCTCCCTAAATGTTTAATCATAGACAGCTTGTGTGCCTTTTCCCCTGCAAACAGCAAATTATCAGCCCAAGGGCATGCAATCTTCTGCTCCAGACTGTAGTCCAAAGCCCATATACAAATCTTTCTGGCACTTTTTGTGCCTTTTTCATGCTTCCACATTCAGAAAGGAGTTTACAGCTCCACCTCAATTAATGCTCATTCTTTTCTAACTGCCTTATTACTATGGCAAACAATCCATTAGCAAGAAAAGCAGAATCCACAAAAAAATATCAGTAAGTCAATGACATTTGTTAAAAACCAAAGAAAAACAACTCTTTGAGTAAAAACTTACAAGAACTGAAAGAAATCCACATTTGCTTCCCACTGTAAGCTCGTCTAGATCATCTTACTCTGACTGTAGGAAAAAGTTTGTTTGTCACAGACTCTCCCAGCCAGCACTGGTGACTAACCAGCTTGGGGACTGGTGGCAGACCAGGACTGGCTAAACAGCAAAGTCACCCAGCTTTTAAGGTGGATTGAGCAAACCACACAAGGTCCCTTCAGCCTTTGATGGTGTATTATTGTGACTTCAGCTAACAAATGTAATGCTAGCTTAAATACACTGTGTGTGTTTACACTCCACTGAGATCCTGGTGATTGAAGGGTACACACACCCTACAAGGCTTCCTCTATTGTTCAGACAAATTTATATGCCCAAAGAGCCTGACAACCCCACTACCACCAGCACAAAGAAAGCAACTGTTTCCCTTCTCACTGCAAGCAAAGGCAGACAAAAAGGCCAGAGTTCAACAGAGATACCTGACTGCTCTATAATCAACATTATACTGGTCAAGAACTTCTCATAGAAAACGCTCCAAGGATTAGTACTTATTGTACTAATAAAAAAAAAAGTATAAGCAACTAAAAAACCACAGGGCATATATTACACCTTCACATGTCACAACCCTCCTATGTGCTGAAGTGAAAGAATCTCAGGGCAGGGCAAACAGAATCTTCTTTTGAAGGTTTTGACAAGGGGGGATTTAAAACTCTGGTACAGATCTGTGCTGACAGAGGCAGACTGAGCAAACCCATCAAATATCCTAGCAGACATCTGTCCATGCAAGGAGGGTAGAGCAGCTCCTCAGCCAGTGCTGAGCTCCTGGTGCTCCACTGCCCTGCCCCAGGGCACAGCTCTGACGGTACCTGGCTGCAGTCAGCTCAGCAGCTCCCACCGGGACAGCATTGCCAAAGGCTGCAGACTCGGCTGAGGGATGCTCACAGGGATCCAGGGGAGAAGCCAACTGATTATCATCACCTGGCCCAGGAGGGCTGTGGAGAGAAAAGACAGAGAGAAAGGCAGCCTTTAATGTCCGAGTTATTATTGCAGAATTACTGCTGTTTATCCTTCTGAATCCCTGGACTTGAGCATGAATGAGCTAACTTGTGTGTTAGGGAACACAGAGAAAGTTGGCATTTTTAATCCAAGTTGCTTTTGTTCCCACAGGACTGAAGTCTTTGGATTTTTGTTTGACTTACAACTGCAGGAGCAATGAGACAGTACAACTCAACAGCAAATGGACCCCATTGTGCTTCTGATTATGAAAAGCAAATGAGAAATGGAGCTGCAGCTTGAACAAGAGAAATGACAAGATTCCCTCGCTCAGAAACCACATGAAATACAAGGAGCTCGATGTTGGCTTTCACCTGAGCTGGGGGGGCTCACTGGTGGGGGCACAGAGTCAAAGGTGTCCAGGTGCTGTGGAGAACACACACAGGGAGACATCCAGCCTTGTCCCATTCCCGGGAAAAGCAGAGTGCCACTGAGTACCTGCAGCTCTTGACTGAAGAAACCCATTTGGAAACACACTGCTGAATCAATAAGGAAAGGAGCCTTGCTGAAAAAGAGACTTTGTTTATTCTTAAGAGACACCAAACCATGGGAACCCCCTGAAAACAATGTTTTTGCTACTACTTCAACCTGACTTTGCCATGTGACTACCCAGAGATCAGGGCCCTGCAAGCACCAGTTTTCCCTAAAATTCACCAAAATTCTCAAGTTATTTGTAAACCATAAAGTGTGAACTTAAACTGCTGATGCAATTTCACACTGCCCTGGATCCCTTCTGTCCATGTTGTTTCCTGTATTACCTAGTGAAAACAACACTGAACACATGGGGATGGTACCATACCCAGATGGATTTGAGGTGCATAAACTCAAACCTGTCACTCAGCATCTGCAATTCCAGCTCATAAATACAAAGCTCTAAATCAGAGAACTCAGCTTTAACTCTAAGTGATTACTACCTTACCTAACTTCAAATCAAGATATCCTGCATGATTCCCTACTGTAATTTAATTTTGAATCAAAAAACATAACAAACAGTTAAATTTTACTATAACAATGTCAGTGTTATGCTGGTAATGTCCGAAGGCTGCCATCTCAATGTACTCACACTTCCCATATTTTATCTAAAGGATTCTCTAACATGTTCATGTGGGAAAAACTATTACAACTCTGAGCAGTTGACTGCCCACAGGTTCTCTGGTTTAACCACACCTGAGGGTTCTGCCTGTTGTAGGGACCTTTGAGCCAAGGTGTTTCAGGTTCTAAAGTCCCCTGGCTTATTATCATAAAGGAACTGGTTTTCATTCATTACTGAGTTGCAGATGGGGTGTCCCCTCTGCTTTGCCTTAAAATGAGTGTTTGGAAAGTAGATTTTGACAACAGCACTTTACAATTTCTTTTTATGTACATAATGAGTGAACTGAGGAGATGGGCAGGTTTTCTTCTTGCTGTGACAGAGCTCTAAGGCTATTCCTGTAAACACCTAGAAAGCACAGCACAAGCCCAAACTGCAATTGAAACTGCTGTGCCCCAACCTGGTGAGAAGTGCTTGCTCCTCACCACTCACGTTTCCTGCACAACCAACTCCTGGACAGGGATTTTCATAGTTTATGGACAAAGTAACCTGAAACTCAGGCCTGGGGAGGTGATGGAGAAGCTGCTCCTTGCCAAGCCACCCTGCTCTGTGCTGCACAAACAATGAAGCCATCCATGAGCTGCTCAAACGAGTTCCACAAGTGACATTCCCGGCCATCACAATGCCTTTGGCTCTCCAGGGCCTGCCACCAGGTCCCTGCTGTCACCCCTCCGCAGCCACCAGCCTCTAGGGCCAACTTGTTGCAAGAACTGAGCTCCATAAAAAGGCCACGAGCTTTTTCCATCCTGTTGCCTCAGTTCTGGGTCGAGCCTGGAAGAGGATCGACATAAAACTGCTTCCAAATTCTACTTATGACAAGCATGACTGAAATAGTTTGCAAAGGAAAATACCTCACAGTTTAACAAGCAGTTGCTTACCAACAGCTGCAGCGAGCACACTAAATTCAGCCCCAAGACCACGGGGTTCAGTCTGTTATTAGTGTGTCACAAGAGAAAGACACTGCCCATCAAGTGTCCTTAGGCTCTTGAGTTTCACAATTTCACTTTTAAGGCCTCTACTTAGCCTTGAAAAGAGATTTTCCAAGTCACTGTTAGAAGGCAGGTATGCAAATAAGTTTCAGGCAAAGCTGGACCCACAGTATTCATTATATATCAACAAATGAATGAGAAGTAACTTCATAAACTTGTCTAATTTCTTCTTAAACACAGCAGGTCTGACTCTACGTGAGAAGGCTTCAAACCAAGGCAGAAATTTAAGATATATACAGGGCCAATACTTGGCACAGGTGGACACAGAGACAGTGAGTGCTGGGTGCTCTGGGTTTGCTGCTCTCCTCCTGACATCCCTGAGATGCAGATCTTAAACCCCAAATTTCATAGGAAAGTTATAAAACACTCTGATACTGGTGCTGGAGACAGAAGGCAGCTACAGGTCTTGGCATTTACTCCCTGCCCATGTTTTTCCAATCAGGAGAGCTGGATGAGGCTCCCTTTGAACAGTCAACAATAGCTCCAAGTTTACTCCAAGGGAAACCAATAAGCATTTCAAACTCTGCTATCTCCCAGTCCCAAACATTTGGCTGCTTTTAATGAGATAAGAACAAGATTTGTGGATCCTGCTCTTATTCCAGAAATCTCTGGAAAATGGCACCAACAACCACAAAGCAGGGCTGAGCTCTCAGTGCTCTCGCCACCCACTGTTTTGTTTACTTCAGGACACAAGATGTTCTCACTGGGTACAGCAAGCTCACAAAATCCTTTACATTTCATACTTGGCTTTCTAATACCTTGGGCCAAAGAGTCAAAATTTTGAGCCTCAGTTTACCCATACAAAAGGAAAAGTATCAATCAGTCCTAGAAGAATATTGAGAGAATTTGTTATTTCTGTTAAGTTCTTACACTGCAATTCTTTGGAAAGGAAAAAGATCTAGCAGCACCTACATCAGCTTCAAATTCATTCATTCAAACACACTGTACCTCATAAAATTTGATCCATTTTATTAATTACTTAATAATATTAATCTTCTCACAGTTCAGCTTATCTCTTACATTAACCACATTCACTGAAATAAACTTGTTGTCTAGAAAATCCAATAACCTGTTACAGTAACTCTATGTACCTTTGGCATTTCTGTTCTTTAAAAGTATTTCCATTATTACCGGGACTCCTGTCAATGATTCAGCAGAGAAGGAGGCAAGAAGTTACTTCTCATATAAGAAATCAACATTACAAGTATCACTTGCTAAAACTAAACTTGTTTAGGGAACTGCTCAGACCTGCTGCATAAGATACAAACAGAGCATCAAAAACAAACAAACCCCTCTTTTTTTTTCCCCTCTTGCACTACTACTTATGAATAAAGTAAAAACTCATTTAAGTATCAACAGCATTTCAGGAAAAATATGAGATTCTAAGATTAAAATGGGAAGTATGGCTTTATTTCCCAAGGAACTAAGGGAACATCCATCCTCACAGGACAAGTCCATGCACCAGCAACAGCTTAAAAGCTCAGACACAGCAACGACTGGAGATCACTTTTGCTGGTCACTGTGCTTAGATTTAGCCAAAGTTTTACTTTTACCAGCTAAAAACGCACTCACAGTCAAAAGTTCAAGTTTTCGGCAATACACTGCCTTTTGTAAAGCCAACAAAAGACCTACTTAGGCATTTAAATATGTGATTTTGGAAAAATCTCTCAAATTCCATACTCTGAAGAAGAAACTACGCAGTGCCTCGCACCAGCACTTTGTATTTAGGCTGAGCCTGGGCCAGGCTGAGTCCTGCTGAGCTGGAGCTGTACAAACACAGTAATGAAGGTATCCAAGAAATGAACTGGCATGTGTTAATTAAAAGCAAATAAAACCCCTGTCACACAGGGGGAACACGAGTTTGATGCCCAGTGCATGGCAGCAGAACTACCCTTCTGGAAAAAAAGGCACTGCCACCAAGAGACCAGAACAAGCCCCTGGGGGAATTATTCCAGATTTCCACGATGTCCCTTTGAGCAGGACTCAAGGAATGAGCAGAACAGGTCTGGGTGCTGGGTGGCAGTGCCTGGAGCTCGCAGGGAGGGTGGGGCAGCACCTGAGGCACACCTGTCCCCAAGGGTGTCACACCTGCCACCAGCCTGGCTGGCCCAGCTCCGGACACGGGCTGCGCTTCCAGCAACAGGAGAGTCCCTTCCCTCCCAGCACAATTCCACCCCAGCAGCACCACAAAGGCAAACCAGTGCAGGAGCTGGTTCTGGAGACACCAAATGGTTTTTCCAAGGCTTCCTGAAGGCAATCCCCAGCTGTGGAAGGCAGCCCAGGTGTGCAGCAGCTGGCAGCGCCCGCAGGTAACTCCCGCTGTTCTGCTGGAGCTCTCAGGGACCCTGCACTGGCATTCTCAAAAAATGCATTTTGTGGCACTCGTTGTGGAAACCCTGACAAGATAAAGGAGTTATCCTGGCAGGGGATGGGGTTTAGTCACACTTTACCTGAGGGCCTGCACTTCCTCTCTCACCCAACTCTCCTTGCTTAGAAACCCCTTAATTTCTGTAACGTGCACTCAGATTGATTAGCTGTAACAATAAAATAAATAGAATTTTTTTTTTTTTGCCGGAGTGTTCTACATTACTATGGTCTCATTAAAACTTAGGGTGAGTTACTCCATTAAACAAACACAATTACATCAGACTCAAATACTTAAAGGCACTGAAACATGTGTTACAGCACTACTTCGTTTGCAAACTAAAAGAGGGACAGCAGAAGGCCACATAAAAGTGTCAGAAATATAAATCCCGCCTGCACAGGATGAATAAGCATATTTGCTGTAATAACTGTCAAGAATTAAAAAAAGCCCATCACGTCACCAGGACCAGCTTTTGGAGCCTCGGAAGGGCTCTCG